AATATAATTCAATTTGATCAAGTTCCACAATCCTAGTTTTGATTTTTTTTTTAAACTTGACATGGCGAGTGGCTATGATGTCGACGGTCCTGAGCTATTCCATAACCTGTTAGGAAACGCTGGATAGCGTTTCTAATCCTCCAGATAGAATAGGAATGCGACAGCTGGAGAATACAATCCAATATTTTAGAAAAACGTGATGTGAGGAGAAATACACTGCTGATAAGCGCTGTTATATTTACACGAAACAACAAGTGCAAATAAGTTGGCCAGATGCTACATTGCACGCCTTACTGGATTGAGGTTGACGTGCAAGCAGTGCTCTAGTTGTCCCCGAGTCAGTTAGTTGTGTATCTGATGGCACTTTGCTGGTGCTTAAAATTACGAACCTTCGGGCCGGAACGTTTTCAGGGTAAATGATGATCATCTGTGAATGGATGGCGTTTTTTATTACACACTTATCGTGTGATGAACAGCAGACGGGGCGAACCCCATAGTCACGAGGACCTGTTGTTCAATGATGGAACCTGGTGACCTAAGCCACGGGACTTGGAGTGGTGAACCACATAAAGCTCCGATAGCTTTGGTGTGGTATTGAACCGGACGACAGTAGGGCTGTCTACCACCAAAATCGGGTGGCAGTGGCGGGGCTCGAACCTTTGTATTTGAAAGAGAAAACATTTCAGCACTGAGTTCAACTAACTGAGTTTTCAGTTCAGTTTGAACAACCATTAACCATGCATATTCGTGGACCGGTTTTGGTTGCTGTCTTTTGGCTGCCCATTTGGATGAAGAATAGGAGAAGAAAGGAAACTTGAAAGTGGAGAATTTCAGTGGTCTAAGGTTGCAAAGAGATTGAGAAGATGCACGAACGCCACTGGTTGCGACACCCAGCCATATCACCCAGTGTCTCTAACCATCGGTTACGGTCATCCCGAGGTCCCCAGCCAGGAAGCCTAACAGGACCTACGTGACCCAGTCTCCTGGTTAGGGTTATTATACCTTCATGCCAGGTCTTAGCTTGACCATCCTTGGCTTTTTTCCACTCGGTGTCTGCTTCGGCGAACATCGCTCACCGTGGTA